ATGGTTATTTTTGGTTGCGTTTAGTTTTGTTATTGCTGTCGGGTAAAAACTGTCTCTAAGGCGGTTGGTTCTTGGGAATGTCCGGGATGAGAAGTCTCTTACTTTGTACTAACTGTATGAAAAACAAAAATCACACTTAGGTGTACCTTCATTGTTGCACCTCTGAGGTAAATTGGTTACCCTGGATTTTGCTTTTAGGGGTGTCAGAGTAAAAGAGGGGGCTTATTTGTTCTTTTTTTTTTCTTCACTCCTCAGTGATTCACTACAGTTCTCAGTTTACAGACAGACGGCGCTCCGGATGTTGTTAGGTGAGGAGGCAAAAATAACTCTGGCAGGAGTTTAAGTGTGGCCAAGCCCCCCCATTGCAGCTGGCTCCGTCAGTCCAAGGCCAAAACAAGATGGCGGAACTCAGGAGCTGGTGTTTCATTTTAGCAGGCAAGTTTAACCCTGAAACATCAAACTTCATGTAATTACAGAAACAAGGCGATGTTTGTTGAAAGCAAACGTCACCTTTGATATCAGCTCTGGATAAATAACCAACCAGTTTCTCTGTTTCAGTCAGTTTTTTTCTGATTTTGTTGAACTCTTTTCTTTTAATTTACTAACTTTGCTTTGTTATTTTACATCTATTTAGTGTTTGCTGCCAGCTTGTATGGGATCAGTGCAGAAATCAAATTTACCACTCCTGTGGGGAGGCTGTTTACATACGAGGTGATGAGAGAGAAATTCCAGAATGACTTTGAGACCTCATCAAAACTCTACAGTAAGTCTGATTGTTGTGTTATTTTATTTTTTTAGATAACAGAGACAGAACACACAAAAAAAAATGTCTCACATCGTTTTATTTGTTCATGTTATACAGCTGGGGTTCTACACGATGACCCCATGGTTTTTAAGTGCAAGAAGCAGGGGTTTCCTGACCTCCCCGAGTGGCTGCGCTTCATCCAAAGGCATCCCTTTGATAATGGCTTCCTGTACGGCACGCCAATGTCTCCAGGAAAATATTTCATTGAGGTCTGGAGTTTTTTGTTTTTTTATTCCATTCAGATATCAACAATTAGGACAACACTAATCATCAACCTCTGCTGTCAAAACTAAACACATAAAGGCCATTTTGAGCCTTCAGAGGAAAAAAAATCAGCTTTTAAAAGCTATTTGGAGAAAAAGTAAGTTTAGAAATGTCAATCAACTCTTCAGTTTTTATCAAAAAGAATCGATTGATAGATTTAAAAGTATATTTTAAGGTTAGGTGAATGTGCCAATATTTATTTGAAGATAATCAAAATAAATCATCAAAAAATATCATAACAAACAAAGCAAGGGAGCAGAGCTAGTGAGAAAATATTAAAATTATTCATGTATGGTTTGCATAGGGGAGTGAATCCTACCTTCATAATTTGGGGTTTTGATGCTTTTATCCAAAGTGAAATGATTACACAGCAAACCATTTCAGTTAATGTAGAAACAGTTTCCTACAAAACTGAAGGACCAAAATTTTACATACAGGCGCAGATAAATTCACACAAACAAGCCTTGATATATCTAGAAAAATAGGTTTCTAAAAAAGTTTTTTTATGTTTAAATAAAATCAAAGATTAATAGATTTGTAAACAATAGCAAACATGTATTGAAACTCATGCACTTCTAGAAAAAATGTCTTCTTCTCTTCAGATCATTGCAGTTAAATTCAGCCTGAAGTTCATGTCTTCTGTAAATCACTCTAACATATCAGAAAGAAAGTTAAACCACAATGAAAGGAGGTCTGTAATTGTTTGTACCTTTATCTGGAGGTGAGGCTTTCTCATTAAAAATACTTTCAGCTGCTAGGCATTAAGATGGCAGCAACATGGCGGCCTAGTGGTTAGGGCATATAACACCTGAGCAAGACCCTAAGCTCCCAAAATGCTCCCTGGGCGCCGCACGATGGCAGCCCACTGCTTCCCAAGAGGAAGTGGTTAAATACATGAGTTAATTTCGTTGTTCTGTACTCGTGACTATAAAAAAAAATGAAAAATTAAAGAAAATGCTGATTAAATGCCAGTCATGGGCTCTTCAAGGCAGGAGTCTACAGGGGCCCCTCTAGAACTGGTCCTGGGCCCTCTTCAGAGATGGGAAGTAACGAAGTACAAATACTTTGTTATACTGTAATATAATACTGTACTCAAGTAGATTTTTCTGGTATTTTTACTTTACTTTACTACTTATTTTTATGG